TGCAACTGTGTCTGTAATTTCTTGTTTCTGTACAATATGTCCATTTTTCAGGTGTCAGTACTTGAACATGCAGCTTTGTGTAATGTTGCCTGAGAAAATAAACAAAAATACCCGGTGCCTTGCTGGGAAAAACAAATGCTAACATTGTGGTAAGTACATCACAGCTGAATGCCAATTAGCAGGTTTTTTTGTCACAAAGAAGGACTTGCAATCACACAGTTTGAATGTGACTTTCCAAAGCAACTTGATACATTTAAAAGAACTCAATAGTGGCCAAATCAACTGCATTCAAATTTCAAGAGCAGCATCACTCAAAAATGTTGCACATTTCTGACAAAAACTCTTTTCAGCTCTACTCCACAGTGGTTGCTCTAAGTCATACCTCTTGTTCTCTGATCCATTCACATCCCCCCCCAGAATTTAAGAGGCAACTGCATCCTGGTTAAAACAACTCAATTAAGTTAGCATTAAGCTAATATCCCTCTCGCCTAAAGCCAATCACTAATCACCATCCCCCTTTATTAATCCACTTAGCTGCACCTGCAGTGAGCGGCTTCCAACTCCTGATGCTGATGCCAACATCGAACCACCGGCTCCTCCATCATCACCGGCATCAAGATTCCATGCAGAGTAATAATGATGGTGGCCGGGCTAAAGGTGGTAGACTTTTCAACACTATAATTAAGCGTTTATCAACAAAGTAAGAGTAAAAACTACTGATTCAGTTGACAGCGGTATGACCAGCCTTTGTAGATTATGGTAGTTCCTTCAAAGCAAAAGCTCTTTAATATGAAGCATTTTGACAGTTTGGACAGAGTTCTTGCATACCACAATGTCTTATTGACAGATGAGTTGGATCAAAAACTTGTACCAACTTTACTAAAGGAGTTTCTGAGTTAGTAGCTCATGTTTTTATGAAGGGGTCAACGTTGTGCTTTGAGCCTGTGTGCAACCACGAACACAACATGGCACATTCTCACCATTCCTTTGATTGACAGTCAGTGACGGTAACCTGTAGGGTTAAGCGTGTACTCAGCTGAAACAAGAATCTGGTACAGATAATGTATTTCTAAATGTGTCCCTATCTGTACTCGTGAATCTAGTGACCTATAATATAGTAACTTATAAAACACACTCTACATAGTTAGTTTTCTAATAAATATAGCAACTTCTGACCCTGCCAATTCTGAGTACAGATACAACTTACTTGGTTGAATAGATACAGATAATGGTGTACTCCTTAATCCCTAAGTAACCTGCAAAAAAGACATTTTGCAAAACACAGTCAAAGGCATGAAGACAAGCTAGCAAACATTGGTACCCTTTTTAAAATCAAATAAAAATTTGCTTTAAAAATTATCTGAGGTAAAAAAAAATGTATTCAACGTGTTCGTTAGACCTCAAAAATATGTGTTTTGGTAACACGTTGTGTCTTTGTTTGCAAGAAAACTTGACAGTGCACCTTTAACCTATAATATGTTTTACTTGATGAAGCTCAAGCGATAAAAACATTGTTAATAAAGCGAGTCTGTGGGATACTTCCTGTATGTGTGAATAAAATGGCTCCAGGGCAGTGTTGGCAAAGTCTCACACTTAGGTGTAAAATATTTTCTCTACCAGGTAAATATAGTGAAACACTTCCATTACAGCTATTTCCTCATCTCCCTCCTCTCCTTGCCTCTGTGCTGCTCTCCATTCATATTCATGGGGATTTGAAATCTTATTTAGCAGCTCTAACTGTGAGCAGAGGAAGTGTGATCACTTAGTACTGTCAGGTAATCATTGTGTACTACAACATTTGTCATATGAACTCTCTGCTGTTAGAGAGCCTAAATATAGAGAACGTGTGTCTGATTCCAATCACAGAACGGCTGGAAACATTCTCGCGGCAATATTTTGATAGAAGGTACCAGGATGTGAAGAAAACGGTGAACAGGTAAACTGCATAATGAGTGTTACGAGGTTAACGAGGACTTATATGGTTGCATCAATGAAAATGTCAAAATTGCACGTCCATCCTCGAATCGCTGGGCAACATAGGTGTCATTTTGTGTTGACAGCCAGCGTTATTGCAACTTGATTCTTACATTACATTTTCACATTATTAAGCTCAATAAAGACAAGCAGACATTTCTTGTTATGTTTAAAGCAGACTATGCCATCACCTACCCTAGTTTTTCATTCCCTGTCTTCTACACTGTCTATGGGCAAAAATAAGCAGAAATAGAGAAAGAAAATATTTTAAAACAAATATTCTGAAGCTACAGTCTTTTTGCCATCCAGTCATTACTTAACATTTGCATTATAAATTTAATATGTAAATGATTGAGACAGAAAACAAAGGGAATGGTGTATCATCTCTTATCAGAACTTGTTTTAATTTTGTGCTATCAGTCGCTGCATGGGAGTATGACTCACTTTTTTGAATATCTCGTTTTCAAAACACCTCGTTTTCACTGATGAGGTCTTTGTAACGGCGTCGAGTGCTTTCCCTGGCATCATTTTAGACCACTCATCCACTTCAGAGCAAGATCGATGCTACACAGAACTATGATAATGATTTTCAGTGATGATTTTGAGCCTTGATCTCCGCGGTTCTGATAGTAAACACTGTCTCCAAAATCGCCTACACACGCTCAATTCCACATTGTATCTGGTTATTCCAAAGGCCCTGGGACACAGAGTTGTTATTGTTTGATCCAGTGGATTCAGAGTGGCTGGTGCAAATGAGGCTGTCAAGAAAGATCCATGTGCTGAATGTGAATTTTTTGAATGTTCTGATTTTTTAAAATTGCCTTTAGGGTTGATCAGGCTGAGATTTCCAATAAGTGTAGTCATAAGATTGGGAAAAAAATACTTTTTTTTAACATATACACACTAAAAATCAGTGGGTCAAAACTGGGTCAATGTACCAATGCAATAATAGGTGTATTTTATCCAGTACCAGTGCGTAGAAAACATGTCCACATGTTTATGAAGCTTTAATATTAAAGAATGAAAATTAGGACAAAGTATGGTTACTTTCTGTTTTGGCTCTCCTGTAAAATTTGTCAAATGTCAATTCCTTTGCAGTTTGTTATGTCATATGCACATTGTTGTTGTTGTTGTTTTGTACTATATGTGTAACATAACCCACTATTAGTGTGTTTATTATTATACCTTACTCCTCATGAATCCTATACTAAATATATGAACTATAACTCATGCTGAACAAAGCCTATGTCATTCTGAGGAAAGTCTTTTAAATTATAGGCCACTTTCCTATGATGAAAATATCCTACTTTAATTAGTGATAATTAAACTGCCTTGCTACATTCATATACACCTTCTGAGTCATACTAATATATATATATATTCCCTATAATCAAAAAACATTATGAATGCTGCTAGTACAGCTTTTTTTGTATTGTAATTTAAAAGAAACTAACACCTCCCACTGGCCACTGTACATGCCCCGCATAAATAGATGTACCCTCTCTGTCTGCTGTACTCCTACCACAGCCCTTTTGAGGAGGTTTGATATTAATTTGACGATAGAGGGCGCTAGTAAGCAAGGATAAAGCCACTGCTGGAATTCAGACAGCCGTCTGAGAAAGATGCAGCTGCTGAGACTAGCTGCCTCTTTTCCCCCTCTCTCTCTCTCTCTCTCTCTCTCTCTCTCTCTCTCTCTCTCTCTAGCCCCCCACCTCCCTCCTCCTTCCCCTCCTCCCTCCTATCCTTCCCATCTATCCCGCCCGGTCCCTCACTCCTTCACTCACTCATTACACTCATTCACTGTATAATGTCACACACACACACACACACACACAGCGCTGCACTGTCCTTACATTTAAAAATAAGGAGAGTGCGCCCAATTCCAAGTTAGAGGAGGCAATCCTAACGCACGCGCATTGAAGCACCGAATCCAGAGTTTATTTATTTTTTTTGGCACTTAACACAGCAGTGCAAAATGCGCATACGTGCAGTATGGATATGAATCCAGCGTCGGAAAACGTTCTCATTTACCTCCCCTTACCCAGCGCGCCCTCGGGAGAATCTAAGCTGACCGCCAGCAGGAATTGTTTGCTCAACACTGTACCCATCACAAGCACTTGCGTGGCAGCTGTGTTAGGACACACACCGAGGCACACTAATCTTTCACAGGGAGTTGGGTTTGCGCATTGGCCGAATAAAAAACCCTTGTTCAGATTCGTCTGAGGGGCCACGCGGGAGAGGATTTCTCTCTCTTTTATTCTCTCTTTACGCAAATTAATTCACAGCCACGCGTGCTCAGCTTTCCTGGATGCTGAGTGGACTGAGCAGCACACAGGGCAGAAGAGACACCGAGCCCGCTGCGCCGGTGGAGCAGAGCACAGCCACCGGCGACCACACGCATTCATATTAGTAACCACAGGGAAACCACAGCACTGCGCACACACGGCTCAGCCCCGTCCCGTCCCGCCCGTCCCGCAGCACCGCCGCAGCACAGATCAGAGAACAGTTTCATATCATATTAAAAGCGCATAACTTGTGTCAACCAGAGAGTGCGCAAAAGTTGTGCTTTGAATTTGCGGTGTCTTGTCTTTTGCGGCAAAGCCAACATCCCCGCAACAACACTGCGCTGGAAACAAAATGTTAGAATGTTACAATAGAACGCCTAGTATCATGTGAAAGACACTCAAATGGTTATTTCTGTCGGATCTCTCGCCGCCGTATCGCCCACATGAACATGATGTGAAGCATCCGAACTGCGCTCAGAAAGTGCCGAGACACGTCTCGAGCAACCAAAGAATAAATAAATACCGATGAAAACGACAATATTAAGGCATATCCCTCCTCTGTCTCTTTTCCTCAAATATTTTTCTGCTGGCGTCTGGACTCGGCGATCAAGACCAAGTCCGACCCTGTTTACGTGCGCTGCTGGGGGAGAAGAAACGGGGGGGGTGTTGGAGAGAGAGGGAGAGGGAGAGAGAGAGAGAGAGAGAGAGAGAGAGAGAGAGAGAGAGGGACTGCAATATCATTTGTGAATCCCTCTCACAGTGCTGCAGATAGGGGCTGCCAACACATGCGGCGCGTCTGCAGGTGAGGGAACAGGCTGAATATGCTGCTGGAAACACCGAGGAATCCAACCAACGTTTCCTAAAAACTGCGTCGGATATACATTTTTCTTTATTTTTGATTTTCCCTGTTTGATTTTTCTTTTTCTTTAAAAAAAAAAAAAAAAAATCACAGCCTTGTATTTCTTTCAGCAGGTTGCGCGTTGTGGACTTGGCTCGCAAGAGGAGTGAGAACTATACTGTCTGCCTGCTGGCTGCAAGTGACTTGGTAGGAAGAGAGCAGAGTAGGCAACCGGACAGGTAATTTTTGCTTCACATTCAAAATCCTCGAGATCGGGAGAGTTGACAGGCTCCGCGCAGACGACACTCGCCTTTATGATGAGTTTTGGAAACTGCGCGGAAATTTAAATGATCCACTGATATACGTGGACACATCATCGGACAGAGGAATATTGCAGCCTCGACCCCCCCCCCCAAAAAAAAAAGAGGAGATTCTTAACCACAAACTGTGAGTAAAGCGGCTGGATATGGACTGAATTTACTTTCTGGTGATATGGTGCTCGGAAAATAACATTTTGGCTTTTACGCGCATGAAATTCAAATATTTGTGGCACCGCCCGGAGCGCACGGTCCCTCTCTGGTGTCTTTTCCATATCATTGCGGTTTTTTTCCTACTTAAACAAGGAAAGAGCAACTAACATCCAGTGCCAGAGGAGGAAAAGCAAAGCAGAGAGGAAAAGCCCGTGCACTTGCTGCTTTTCACTGCAGCAGGAGCGATGTAGGAAGTCGTCCGGAGGATGAAGTCTCACGCATCCCGCAACAGAGGGCTTTGCTCTTAATGAAAACGATATTTCTTTTCCATAATCGGACTCTCCCGGTAGTGATTAAATTATTCTCTTTTTTTCTACATTTTTCTTTTCACATCTAAGTGGACATTTTTTCAGGGGAGAACAATGAGGACTACTGGTGCAGTGGACTATTTGTACTATTGCATGCTCATCCTGCAGCTCGTGCATCAGCCCGCTGCCAAGCAAGTGCTCCGGTACCGTTTGGCTGAGGAGGGACCCGCCGATGTTAGAGTAGGGAACGTAGCCGCCGACCTGGGCATTGTAGCCGGGTCCGGTGAGGTGACATTCACGCTAGAATCAGGCTCAGATTTTTTCAAAATAGACAACATAACAGGTGAGCTCACCACCAATGAGAGGCGCATAGACCGTGAAAAATTACAGCAGTGCCAAATGATATTTGATGAAAATGAGTGTTTTATAGATTTTGAAGTGTCAGTGATTGGACCAGCCCAAAGCTGGGTCGACCTCTTTGAGGGAAAAGTCATCATATTAGATATAAATGATAACACACCGTCTTTCCCATCCCCTGTCCTGACACTGTCTGTGGAGGAAAACAGACCCATTGGAACCCTTTATCTGCTGCCCACAGCCACAGACAGAGATTTTGGTAGAAATGGAATTGAGAGATATGAGCTTATCCAGGACAATGGGGAGAACTCAAGGCGCTTGGGCTCTTCTGGGGATTCATACTCGGGGAAGAGGAGATTTGAGGAAGGCGCAAGCAGGAGCAGCGTCTTTGAACTGCAAGTTGCTGACACTACTGATGGAGAGAAGCAGCCTCAACTCATCATTAAAGGGGCCCTTGATAGAGAACAGAGAGACTCCTATGAGCTCACACTGCGTGTTAGGGATGGAGGAGATCCCCCTCGCTCCTCTCAGGCCATTCTTAGGGTGATGATCACTGATGTGAATGACAACAGCCCTCGGTTTGAGAAGAGTGTGTATGAAGCGGACCTACCAGAGAACAGCTCCCCTGGTGCCCCCATACTACAGCTCAAAGCGACTGATGCAGACGTGGGGGTTAATGGTCAAATAGAGTATGTGTTCGGGGCAGCCACAGAGTCAGTAAGGAGGCTACTGAGGTTGGATGAGAGTACAGGCTGGCTCAGTGTGTTGCACCGCATTGACCGTGAAGAAGTGAGCCAACTGAGGTTCACAGTAATGGCCCGTGACCGAGGCCAGCCACCCAAAATGGACAAGGCCACTGTGGTGTTGAACATCAAGGATGAGAACGATAACGTTCCTGCTATAGAGATACGGAAAATTGGACGCATTTTCTTAAAAGACGGGATAGCCAACGTGGCGGAGGATGTGGTGGTGGACACACCCATTGCCTTAGTCCAGGTGTCAGACCGCGACCAGGGGGAAAATGGCATTGTGACCTGCACAGTGGTAGGGGATGTGCCCTTTCAGCTCAAACCAGCCAGTGAGATGGAGGGTGAGCAGAACAAGAAGAAATATTTCCTCCACACGTCTGCACCGCTGGACTATGAGGCCACACAGGAATACAATGTGGTCATAGTGGCTGTTGACTCTGGAAGCCCCAGTCTGGCAAGTAATAACTCTCTTATCGTCAAAGTGGGTGACACTAACGACAACCCTCCTGTCTTCAGCCAGAATGTTGTAGAGGTGTCGTTTCCAGAAAACAATGCCCCTGGCGAGAGGGTGACAACAGTTGCAGCCATTGACGCAGACAGTGGGAAGAATGCTGAAATAGCCTATTCCCTAGACTCATCAGTAAATGGGATTTTCTCTATCGATGCAGACAGTGGAGACATCCGAGTAAACACCATTCTGGATAGAGAGCAAACTGAGCGCTACGAATTCAAAGTGATAGCCAAAGATAAGGGCATAAACACCCTTCAGGGCTCTGCAACAGTGGTTGTCCTTGTGGCCGATAAGAATGACAACGAACCAAAGTTCATGCAGGATGTGTTCACCTTCTATGTCAAAGAGAACCTTGAGCCCAACAGTCCAGTTGGCATGGTTACAGTCATTGATGCGGACAAAGGCCAAAATGCAGAGATGAGTCTTTTTATTGAGGAAGAAGAGGACATCTTTTCTATTGAGAATGACACTGGGACTATTTTCTCCACTCTGTCCTTCGATAGAGAGCAGAAAACCACATACACATTCCGTGTCAAGGCTGTGGATGGTGGTGACCCTCCCAGATCTGCCACTGCCACAGTTTCACTCTTTGTCATGGATGACAATGACAATGCACCAACAGTCACTTTCCCAATAAACAGCTCTTACACCCTTCTTCCTCCCTCTAGTAACATCAGGACAGTAGTCAGAACTGTCATAGCCACTGATACAGACACCGGCATCAATGCAGACCTGAACTACAGCATCATTGGGGGGAACCCCTTCAAGCTGTTTGAGATTGATGGGGGCACGGGGGTCATTTCACTGGTAGGGAAGTTGGAGCAGAAGCACTATGGTCTCCACAGACTAGTGGTCCAGGTGAATGACAGTGGCCAGCCTTCACAGAGCACCACCACACTAGTTCATGTGTATGTTAATGAGACTCTTTCTAATTCCACGATTGTGGAGGCCCAGGTGGCTAAGAGCCTGAGCACGTCTCTCAACACCAACATTGCTGGTGACCCCAACTATGATCTAAGCAAACAGCGGTTAAGCATTGTGATTGGGGTAGTTTCGGGCATCATGACAGTCATCCTGATTATTCTAGTTGTTGTTATGGCCCGTTACTGCCGCCCCAAGAATAAGAATGGTTATGAGGCCGGAAAGAAGGATCATGAAGACTTTTTCACGCCACAGCAGCACGATAAGTCCAAGAAGCCCAAGAAAGATAAGAAGAAACAGAAGTCCAAACAGCCACTCTATAGCAGTATTGTCACTGTAGAGGCCTCTAAACCCAATGGGCAGCGCTACGATGGTGTCAACGAGAAGCTATCAGACAGTCCTGGTATGGGCCGCTACCGTTCAGTCAACGGAGGGCCAGGGAGTCCAGATCTAGCCCGGCACTACAAGTCCAGTTCACCACTCCCTACTGTCCAGCTTCACCCGCAGTCGCCAACAGCTGGTAAAAAGCACCAGGCAGTTCAGGACCTGCCCCCTGCCAATACCTTTGTTGGCACCGGAGATAACATTTCCCTTGGATCTGACCACTGCTCTGAATACAGCAGTCAAACTATCAACAAGTACAACAAACAGGTAAGAAGACACGTCTCCATGTTCTTTTTTCCCCTCCACCACTCTTAAATGTCCTCTGTTTCTTCCTCTTAGTGTTCTCTCTACCATAATGCTTTCTGACAGGGCTAGTCTCAGTAGTCTTGTTGCCTTTATGGTGCTAATGTGTGTCAAGTTAGTGCTATTGATCTGTTTTGGTTTGGAGTGCCATTCACATGTAATATCGGAAGGTAAGAGAAAGGTTTAGATTAGCTTATGAAGGGGTATTGTTACCACTCGACCAAACACAGCCAACTTTTTCACTTTTATCAAGGCATGTGTTGAGGCTGCCTTTTCCGTCAGTGGTGTCACAACTACTAACCTTGGCAAATATGTGTCTGAGTGTTGTAGACAGCTCACATAAGGGTTTGGTTTGCAGTTATTTTATCCCAGAGGGGAGCGAGGTAGGGGCCGGCTACATTCCCCTTAGCCATGTCAAGCCCTGCCCTGCCCTCTGTCTGTGACAAGGCTGCCTTGTCTTCTTGTGAAAAGGGAGAAAAAATAACAAAGGAGGATAAGAAAGAAAGGTAGATGTAGCGTGAATGCAGCACAAACATGGCTTTGTTAGGTTTGTGAGTCAGTTTTACAGTCTCGGCTTAAGTAGGAACATCTGGCCAGGAGGTCATATTAACATTCTTCTGCACTTCGGGGTCTGCATCAATTCATTGACCTAGCAGTGAAATTGGACATTTTTATAACACCTCCCGTATTGTGCCTTAGTTGCTTTTTACTCCCTTACCTTTTCCCTCATACATAAATGTCTGCCATTTTCTACCTGCTTTTCTTCCCTTCCACTCTCATCCACCCTCCAGCTAGTCTTACCTCCCTTCTGTTTTTGCTTTTCTTTTCTCTTCTCCTCTCAGTAACTCTTTTCTTCCATTTGCAGTGCTGGAAAACTGTGTAGGTGGCATGATGTGATATTCAAATTTCAGGAAATGTGTGCTTTTATCATTTCAGTCTTTATACTTTTTGGCTGTTTTTTTGCACTATCATGTGCAACAACGGCGAGAAACAAAGTTAATACGTAATGAAGGCGGCTGATTTGCGTTTTCAGGAAAAAAGAACACTACTGTTTTATGTGTTTTCTATGGCAGGCTAATGAATTATTGATCTTTCTTTTACTTGGTGTCAGCACTACTCCTTTAGAATTCAGAAGTGCTGTTTTCTCTCACAACGCAGCTGGATTGTTTCTTTTTCCCCATTTTCTTTTTTTTTCTCTTCTAGATATCTCTTTCTTCTTGTTCTTATATCCCATGCCCACTGTCACAAACTCTCCTTTGGCCCTGTGCAGTATAGCCTTGCATGTCTGGCCCCCACCTGTGCTGCCTGTTTTCTCCTCTGTATTTTTCCTCTCTTAGGTTTTCAGCCTCCGCCACATCATACCCCTTACAATGGTGCTCTCTGCTTTGCCTTTTTCCCCCCCCTTGCAGTGGTTTCTTTTTAAATCTCTAGTCTCATCACTTTCCCCTCCCTCTTGCTACTTCTCTTCTCAAATCATTTCACTCCCCTTTTACTTCTATCCCATCTCTTCCCCTACTCTGTCTCTAACAGCTTCTAATATGGTGTATTCACTGAGCTGCTTCCCAGAGTGTGAGGAGTGCTGTTGCTTTCGGATGTCTCCTGCATAATTAAAAGGGCACTCTATTTGCTGCTGCGGCAGCAGCATGTATTGTGTGTCACTATGCTCCACTTATATAATTATTTATTTACTGTCTACATTGAAGCTGTGGTAAGTTTTATGAACTGTGCGTTTGTTAGAATACAGTTTCATGGACGAAACCATAATGCACAAAGAGTATTTTCCTGTGAGATTTAAATTGTAGAATAGTAAAGAAAGTGTTCAGAGGTCTACTGGGCAATATTATCCATGTTTATTGTGTGGTGCAGCCTGTTTGGTGTTTAATATACAATAGCTAGCAGGTATTCAAATTGCCTTTTATATCCCATGGGCTCAGTAAATACTCACTGTTGATAAATTCTGTTGGGGGTGAATAGGGTGTTATTTAATGGCTGCACAAGAGAGCTAATTGAAGAGAAGGTGTGTGTTCATGTGCTCCAATTATGGCATTAAACAGCCACCTCTATATTAGATTAAGTAGTGAAGCGGTCATGCTCTTGATTTTAGGGATGCTGCATCTAAAAATATTCTGTTTTCGCATAAGTGCCACTACAGCTAAAGACTTAATAAAGCACTCAAGGACACTTGTGGGCCTCAGTTAAGGGAACAATTTGTGTGAGATCTGGATTAGTGGATTAGTGGAAAATGGTTACGTCAATGAATACATTAACATTATGTTTTCATTATTTTTTAGGTGTTACTATTTTACTTCCTGAAGATTTATTCATATTGGAGGTAAATTTGACCCTTTTATCATATTTGGCCACAAAGGAGGTTGAACCTGTTTAACCTGTGTAAAAATTTCCAAGTGAGGGTAAGGGACGTTTTTCATTATATGTGTGTTTTCTCCCACACACACACTACATGCACATACACGCCCTCACCCACAAACCCTTCTCTTTTACCACTCCCTCTCTTTTTGTCCATCTGTGGGAAGAGATAGAGACAGGCACAAGAAAGACGGCCCTGTTAGCGGTATAGAGAATGGCCCCTACTGTTTCACAAGGGACTTGGGGTCGGGTGGAAAGACGGGGAGGGAGGGAGAGAATAGTGCTGACCATTGACTGTAATCTCTGAGGTATCAGGTTCCGTCTTTCTCTCTCCTCGCCTACCTAATCTTACAATAACTGCACAGGCAACCTGTTCGGGCAGGTAACCAGGCAACTGAGGGAGTTTATCAGCGCGGCAAGCCTTTCTTTTTAGCCCATCAGACATTTAAACAGTCATTAAGCTGAGCTAACTGTGAAGAAGCCAGTGTGTCACCCAGCAGCTGTTGAAGGCTTGAACAGGAGGGGCAACAGACTTGACATTTCATCTCTTCCTGTAACTCCATTGATTGGGGCTGATGTTTTACATATTTTTTCCAGGCTACATTATCCTTATTCAACCAACTCCTTACACACCTGTGTCCAATCCTTACATTTGAAGGCTGATGAGTAGTGTGCGCACTTAACAGAACACTTAACTTTATTACCTTTGGCAGTAGCGTCTGTTCTATCCAGTGCCAGAAAATAATGCTGTCCAACTGTAATGTAGTGAGGAATGAAATCACTTAGCCATCGAATTAGCACAAGCCATCAGCTTTTGTTTTATCATTGCACTTCAAAGCACCACTCGTGCCCAGGTGGATCACTTTTAATCAGCGGTGAGCCACAGCAGCTTGTATTCAATGCTCTGCAAGCGTAGCCCCTCAGGGCAGTCAAAAAGCCCCGGTCCGCACACTTATACCAGGTTATCCTGCCTCGGGGCTGATGCAGCAAGCATAACTGGACATTGCCCTCAACCCAAGCCCCAGTGTTCACCTCCCGTGCTTCGGCCAGCTGTTCCTCCTGCGCCTCCTCATAGGTACAACCTCTCCAGCACAAGCTGAATAGAGCCACGGCGAATCTGATTTGCATAGGGCAACTCCTCACCCTGCCGCACTCACATGGGACAAACAATATCACCATGCAAATGGAGGTCACCTGAATGGTGTTTGTAGCCAAAACATAGGATGTGATTGCCCTTCAGGCTCCAGGCAGATCAGGAAACCAATATGGAAATGCAATACTTTGTCTCTGGCCTCATTTGTTTTAACCTACAAGACGTAGCAGCCTAAACACCTATGAAAAGCCACAACTGACCTAATTGAAACCTACAAAGCTCAGGTGACCCTGCATCTCTTTGTATGAACGCCTGCACGTAGGATTAAGCAATCATGCCACAATTGTCCAAAGCTTTGTGTGGTTTTTTTTTCTCCAGCAGTCATCGCCACTTGCCTTTTTGTAGGCACCAAACATCCCCCCCGATGGCTCTCGTGATTTTATCTTGTTGTGGCAGTCAGTCCCTCATTGAGCTCAATAAGGTAATTACTTGATAAGAGGTTCCACAGGAGCTTTAACATGTTTGGCCATCCCCTTTCCCCCCACCCTCCGTGATTGCTGATACAGGTCAGCTTATTATCCGGAGACAGCAGAGAAAGTAGCCTTTGCTTTACTGCAATCTGTGCAATGCCCATAACTGTCAGACTTTTATTCATTATCATTAAATCTGAATCCAGGTAGAGCAGTCTACTCAATCAGCTGATTATCACATTTGAAGAAGAAAACATTAAAACTCTTTTTATAGCAACTTCACTGAAATTCAGTGTTGGGTGTTAAAGGTGAGAAAAAGGTGAAAAAAAACCCTACAATCAGGAAATCTTGCATCTAGTAAGAAAAGAAATGATGTGCAATGAGCTGGTTTGTTTATTGCCACATTATTATTAGCGCTTGTCCTTTGTGTGGTGCTGCGTACCGCCGACTGTGGGTAATTTTATCAAAATTGTTTTGGATCTATTACGGCTTAATTCAATCTATGGCTGCTCAGGCTTTTGTTGTTTATGTTCCGAAAAGGAAAATGGAAGGAGTAAGAGTGCACAGTAATACTCATGAAATTGCAGCGGGCAGCATTTTCTGCTATAATTTGGTTTGGTGATTTGAATGCATTCGCTCTAAGGCAATTACTAATCTAAGGATTAGACTTACCTGATACGCCAGCAGAAATGGTGGGGACTGAGAGAGAGAGAGAGAGAGAGAGAGAGTCAGAGAGAGATTGCTATAGCTGGTTGCTACGGTTTCTTATATAACTCTGCATAATATGTTAATACTGAGGCTTTTTTCCCTCACTTTCTTCACTACAGGGGAAAGTATTGCTTCATTTCTATTTCTTCGTCTTCTTTCCGTCTCCCCCTTCTCTTTCCACGTACAACAAATGTGCCAATGAGCTCATTGTTTTGACATGTAAAATAAAGAAGTACTTGTGATATTGAAGAAGCTGAAGAAGCCCCACCTCGACCGCAACATTTGTCACATAAGATGCCAAAATACAAAGTAGGTGTATTGGGTTT